ATGAAATGGCATATATATTATACGATATTCATGTTATGACTCGAGAGGTGCGTGAGTATGGTACATAATGGAGCATTGGGATGAGTTTTCTATCTTTTCTCGTGACGAGATATAAAAAATTTTAATACTCCTGCTGCCTTCTACGCTGTAATGCCTCGAAATATCCTCTCAGACAAATTCGTTGCTTAGCAACCACAGGAAAAAATTTCATGTAGACAGAGAAATAGAGAACATTGGTTGCAATTATATGTGGAACAACAGATCTAGTAATTGAACTACCTTTTCGATTTGACTTTGCAGCGAAGGGTATCATTAGACCATTTTGCTTTTTTTTATTATCATCAACAAAAGAACTCTCTATAGATCTTCTCAGACAAGTCTGTTCTTTTCAGACAAGTTTGTTGCTCAGCAACCACAGGTAAGGAATCTGGTATCGGCAAGAGAAAATAAAGGAAATTTATGAACATAAAAGGACTTAATCTCAGTTGCCTAACAAAGATTGGAAATTTGATAAAATTTCTTTTACAGTACCTTAAAGTAAGTACTTTCAATTCCGCCTTAAATATTTCAGGATTTAGTGCGAAGCTGAAGCTCTATATTTGTATTAACTCTATAGTTGTAATGTATTTCGCACAACTAGCAGAGTAAAATTTGGGGCTGATCCTTACAAAATGATCTGATTTGTATGATTTTTTTTTTTCTGGATAGAAATAATAACACCCTAAGCAGACTAATTCCGGTCAAAAAACACAAAATCTAAAACAAGAACACATTTGACTATGTCAATCAGCATTCGGTTGGTTCTATAAAAATTGTAGTTACAAGTTTTTCGCGTGATATTGATATTTTAAATAAGCAAAAACAGGGTCATACTTAAATCTGAAAGGGTATTCATTCCGTTAGCAATATGAGCAACTTTTTATTTTTTTGAATTGTAATAGTTTGTTGTAATCTCCCTCCTGATAATGAATATTTTTGACTACATAATATTGCCTTGCAGATTGTGACTAATAGTAACTGGGTTTCTCGAATTTATTGATATGGTCCTCTGGCATGAAAAGTTGGGACAGGCCTCTACCTTGGAATATTTTGATGTCAGATTAAATTTTATTTATGTCAAACTGTGATGGAGGCATATCATTAAAGGAACCTAAGCAAACCCGAGGAGGACAACACACGAGTTGTTCCATACATAAATGTAACCTGTCTTTTCACTAATGCTAGATTTTTTAGAGCGCGTCAACCGTAACGTCGAGCATGTTCAATTTAACATCCTTTTAAGGAAACAGTTTTGTGACATATTACGATTCAAAGTACCGATGTGAAGGTTCAAAATTGAGCCAATTTTTCGCACAATTTCAGTCACGTATAAAAAAAAATGCTATTTAAGTTCGGTCTCATATGCTAATTTAAACGACTCACTCAGTTTTTTTTCTTCTTTTTTTTTCTTGAGACACTCAGTAATAGTTAAACATTTGGGAACTAACATGTAATTAAAGAATCAGAAAAAAAACTTCCCTTTACTTCAATTTACAAAAACTTGATGGCTAGCTCTGAATCAAGAAAAAGTATAACTTTTACACAAAGTTTTAATTTCGGACCAAGAACATACAAATGAAACCTTTATAAAACTTAACTAACTTCCTATTATGCTCACAATTTTAGAAGAAATATTACATTTTTTTAGACTCAAATTTATAATTATTTTAAAGAAACAATCATTAAAAAACCAAAGAATAAGACTGTGAAATATATAGATCTGAAACCATTTGCTTTAAAACTCCGTGTGCACTGTTAGGCTCCGTGTGCACTGTTAGACTGAAGATGAGAACTATTTTTTAAAAAAACTCTCTGTGTATTCAGCACCGTTCAATGCTTTAAAGTAGACTCATCTAACTGTCAAAAAGATTAAACTTAATCGCATTTAGGTTGAGGAAGACAATGAAAGGTTCAGGTAAGAGAAATTTAAGCAATTAATATAAAAAGTTTGCTCGTTTAGAAATCTTTGAGTAAAACCGCGGAAGAAAATGATAAAAAAGTAAAGAATATGTAATGATAATGAATATATCATATGTACAGTGTGCCAAAAAAAAAAACGGACTACCCTTAATAACTTATAATCTAATGATCGGATCTTCACGTTCTAGGACTCATTCTTAATGGTTCGAAAAGTTGACCTCTAAAATACTAATTAAATAGTGCAGACGATATTTTAAGTTACGAAATCAGACATAAAATATTACATTTTCTGAATAAGCGTACCTTTTTTTTCAACGGAGTCGGATTTCTCACCCTCCAAAAAGTAGGGGGTAGCCGCAATCTGGGAATTATGGTTATAATAGTTTGATCAGGAGAGTGATCCAAAGTTTGGACCCTTAATGTTAATTTTTTATCACCATAACTCGAAAACTTTTTAAGCGAATTGAAAAAAAAAATTTCCACAATTACAAAATTCGTTTATCCAAAAATAATTAATTCCATGTAAAAAATATTTTTTAGTAAATATTTATTATTTCATTGAATAATATTCCAAAAAATTTTGAAATGAGAGGTATACAATTTCTTACATAATTAAAAGTATGTAAATTTACATGGTAAATTACAAAATTTGAGCGAAATCTGTTAAATAGTTCATGAGAAATTAAATTTTAAATATACGACTTCTTTAAAATTCAATTTCTCAGTAGCTATTCGACCGCTTTTGAATTTTGCCATATAAATTTACATACTTTAAAATAATGTGAAAACATTGCATACCTTACGATTCAAAATTTTTTCGATTATTTTTAAATAAAATAATAAATAGTAATAAATATTTACTAAAATTTAAGTTTTGCATGGAATTACTTTTGAATAAAGAAATTTTACAGTTGTGTTTAAAAAATTTGCAACTCGCTTTAAACGATGGCGAAAAACGCAATATGGCTAAATATGGCGAAAACCGCAAAAATTAACGTAGCAAAGATCGCGCGAATACAATTACTGAGTTGAAATTCGGCATGCTTAAAGAGCCATATTTAATAATAAACTTCACTCAACAGTTTTTTTTTTTTCGAAATCCACATTTATTCAAAAAAAAATTTGCAATTTTAAGTGCTTTTTTACGAATTTTTTCTGACTTTTTTGTTTGATTTACGTTACATTTTGATTTGTAGAACAAAATCTATTTGACATAGAAAATTAAAATTACGAAAGTAAGTAGAAAAAGTACAGTTAGAACGATTAAAAATATTTAATATCCAACAATATGCATAAAATGCATTCATACTATACATAAATACTTGTAAGAAAACTACCCTGTTAAAATATGCAGAGATTCAAGAAGAAAAAAAATTTAACGTACGGAGACTATCAGATGAACCAACTGATTACAGGCAATGATAGAATAAAATGATTTTTTCTTCTATCCTGATTATCATTTCTATAAATTTCGCTATGAAACTCAGAAAGAAAAGAAACAGAAAAATATATATATAAGTATCTATATAGGATATAAGAGATAAAACATCGAAAAAGAATCTGTTAAAGAAAATCTATCACTTGAATGTTTGAGAAAATAACAATATATATCATGAAAAGATCCTGTTATCAATTGTTTTTTACACTAGGTTAAAATTTATATCAGACATATCTTATGTCTACATTTTTTACCTAAAACACTGACTGCTATTTTCGATTAATAAAAAAATCGTTAACGCAGAATTATCACATTTTTTTTTTGGTTTGTTGTAACAATATAACATTAGTTTAAATGCTATTAAAAAAATAATTACTAAGCAAAATTATTTATATTAACAGTTAGATCTAAATAGAATCGTCACCGTAAAGGAAAAAGAATCCTACTCCATACTTATCTACCAATCAAATTTGACTCAATATTAACTTTTAATTTAAAGAAATGAATATTTGACCTGTGAAGTGGGAGCACAAGAAAACAGAATTCTTTACAGTACAAATATTTTAGGTGAATAATTTCAAATTTCGTTAAAAAAAAAACTGTTAAATGCCACGGAACAAAAATTATTGGGAAGAAATCATCCATCGGGGTCGGTGAATGGTTAATTAATTATTAAGTTTTTAATTATTAAAGTTTATTAATAATTATAGTTTATAAATAGTTTATAAATAGTTTATTAATAATTAAATTAAAGCGAAAAGTGGTTTTCCCCATTTATTATTTTTTTACATATATTTTCAAAATAAATATATAAGTATACAATGAAATTATTAATTGTAAAATTAAACTTCGTAATAATCAAAGTAAAGAATGACTTCTATAATTTATTTTTTTTTCTTCAAAATAACTGAATTAATTTAAATAAATTATATTTAAAGATGAAATACCAAATATAGAAGCATAAATTTAAAATCTGCTGAATAGAATCATATCAGAAAAGAAAGCGTCATTTTTTCGGCATATTTGAGGGCGCCGACTCCTTTGATCAGAAGTTTTTATTTTTTGTACTTTCCCGTTTGCTGAGAACACGTAAATTCAACTATTTAAAAAAAATAATACCTATCACCTAAAAAAATAATTAAATGAAACGTTAAAAAAATATGTGTGCAAAATTTACATATTGAATGATAGCGAAAATTATTATTACCTTACTCTTGCACTTATGTAATTGGTGACTTTTTTAGCTTTTTTTTTCTTATTCGGATTGCTAGATTTTGATTAAAAGTAAATAAATAAATAGTACATAAATAAGTAAAAAATACATATATAAATAATAAATAAATAAATAAGTAAATAAATAAATAATAAATATATAATTAATTCCTTGGTTTGAGTATTTTTCAAAACATAATCAAATTTTTTTAAAATTCGGATGCATATGCTTTTTTTCTTAATCAACCTGAGTAATGTTTTTTTTTTCTTCTAAATTTTATGAATGAAATTTATAAGCTTCAAAAAATTAATTAATCAACATATTAAATTAAATCATAAATGAATTATTTATCAACAATCTTTCATCGGGAAGGAGAACAAATGTACTTACCTCCTCCATTTTTATAACAAAGGTAGGGGAACCTCCATACGTTTCCGAGACCGATGCAAAATCCCATGCAGGATAAAACAAATTCGATCTTATTACCCCAATGCTCTCTTTCCCTGTATTTGGGGGCATCTTTTGTGGGTGAACCAGGGGGGCTGGTCGGTACCCTGTTCATTGCACCGTTGCTCTCCGCTGAAGTCATTACTGACCAATTAACCTCTACCTTGAAAAGAAAGTAAAGGCCAAGCTATTCTTCAAAATCTTTTATTCCAGTTCGTCCTGTTCCAGTGAGAGAAATGGATCGTCTGCTCGCATCAGCGGATGCGGAATGGGGAAAGCACACTAACGCCACCCAGCGGATACCGGCTGTATTTTTAGCAGCAAAAAGAAAAAAAAAGGGCAGCCTGTTCTTCCTCTTCTCGGAGCTAAGCAGAAAAACATACCTTAAGGCTGTTCTCTCCTATTGCTTATCAGAGTTGGCCGTTGATTACAGTAATCGATTACAACTGTAATTGATTACAGATAATTACAGCTATGTAATCAATTACTTGTAATCACGATTACAAGTAATCAATTACTTGTAATCGTGATTACAACTTTCAAAAAATTTTGATTACAGCTGTAATCANATGGAATATTGAGAGCAAGATGTAAAAAAGAAAATGTCTGAAAATAAAATTACATGTAGCCATCTCTCCTTAATATCGAGGTGAGATGGTCATCCCAATACATTAAAAGAAAAGTGTAGTTAAAATTTGGAAAATAATACGTTTTATACAGTAAACCATGAAAAACTTATGGCAAGTTGTAAATAACTAATTTTATCATGGAAAGCAAGTAAAAAGATTCTAATAAACTAAATCTAGTGTATAGATTTAATCCATCACTTTAAAAATAAAAAAAATCGCCACATTTTTGCTAAAAGTTTTCAAAGTTTATTTATGTTTCATGGAGCCACTGTTTGCACTTTTCACATCTTAACTAATTTTCAATTTTAGTTTAGTTTAGCTTAGTATGTATTATATTCTTCTCCGTGGCTAACACGGTGATTGATATGCATCAAATTCTGAGTCTGTAAAATTGGATAATTTGTAAAGTCCTGTCGAGTAGGATATGGGGATATATCGGATAATATGTTAGATCTGTAGAATCGGAACGTAATACGGTATGTTTTTTTTTACTGTTCTTTAAAAAAGTAAACAAGTGATTTCAGTATTATAAAAAAAAAATATTTTTTTCTTCTTTTTTTAGCTTTTATCCTAAAATTTCAAAACCAAACCAAACGAAAATTTTTAACTAAACCAAAGCTTTCGCAAGCAGATTCATTTTTTTAAAAAATATTATGCATTGTGGTGAAATAAAATTTACTTAAATACATCTTATTTTCTTACCTTTTTAAAAAAATTTTGAACTTTTTAAGGCCCCTACGATCCCTGATATGTCTGTTCGCGTCAATGAAAAATAGGTCATCGCTACTCGATGGCTGATTAATGTGGCCACCTCTCTTAAAAGACTCATACATTTGTTAAATAAAGTAAAATTAATTTATATACTGATTGGAACAGTAATTAAAAAATAAAAGATTATCGTGTTTTAGAAAATTTCAATCGTATATATGTTATTGCTTATCATATTTATGTTATTGCTTTGAATTTATGTCATTGTTTATCTCCTCTTTAATAATATTTCAAGAAAAAAATTTATTTTATATGTGCCTTTACGCCGAGAATTTTGAAAGAACGAAAAAAAACTAATGTAATCAGAATTTTGAGCTGTGTGAGAATAACATACTTTCAAAATAACATTGTATTAAATGCTAATAAGAACGAAAAAGAGAAACGTTTATTATTAATATCTTAATGGATTTCGATGGAAAAAAAAAACCCAACATAGTTTTTACATGAATCAATTTATAAAAAGGGTAAAAAAGCAATTCGAGTGAATTGTCCTCAAAATACTTTTAATTCACCCTAAAAATAGACAAGTTTCATACAAGAAATAAAATAAACTAAAAAATAAAAGATATATAATTGTAGTACACTTTATCTCCCGATTAAATTTAATAACCTTACTTAATCTTGATTGTAATGAAATACATTTAAATATTTGAAACAAGTTATATTCTAAGAAAGTTCTTCATATCAGTCTGAAATCACTTTCAAGATAGATGTTTGACAACAAGAATTATTTAGTTAGGCTGATAGTATAGAAAAATCTTGGATACGCGGAGTTCGATTGGAAATAGAGAACCCTTAAATAAATAATCTCTAGAAAATGAAGCGATAAAATATTACCTTATTAAAAACTTCCATGCACTTCAAAAATATATGAATATTAAATAACAGTCGACATGTTTCAAGCACTCAAAATATAGGCGCCCATTTTCGAGACATGAATGGGAAGAAACAAGATTGGTTTGAAATAAAAGCGTCAAGTTGTCATAAAATGGAAAAATAAAGGTGAGAAAACAAATTTGGAAAAAAGCACAGAGACCAAGAGAGGAAAAAAAGATGAAAAACAGAGCAAAGAAAAATCCCAGTGGTCGAAAGGGGCAAATCAGAGTAAAATGCATTTCCACACGCTATGGAGAGGTGGTGAGGTCGTTAACCAGGGAATCAGCATTCATATGAATAAAACAAGATTCCAGGACATCAAGATGAGCTGGTGTGACTGGGGTGGAAATAATTTTGGCATTATCGAAATTGAATTTATGCCCAAACTTCCAACAAAGAGCAGCAATTGATGATATATCGTATTCTTAAGAACGAACATATCTATTGTGTTCCTAAATTTTGAAGCGCGTAAACCACTTATGTTTCTTCTCATTCACATCTGGCATATTTTGAAAATGGAGACCTGTCTTAGAACGCTTGAAACATATCAACTGTTATTTCCGATTGATATATTTTTGAAAAAAATGAAGTTTTTAATCAGGTAAATAGAGAACCCAGTTTATCCGGCACTCTCGGTTATCCGACGATTTTTCTAACTTTTTATATGCATCCTAACATGTCTGAGAAAAATGTGTCTATAATTTTTTTTATTTTTTAAATTTCATTTTACCAACAACATGATTTCTTATTCCTAATCGCAGTAATTGGAAATATATGACAGTATAATTTTTATTATTATTTACTAATTTTAATTAATATGCATTTTTTAATTTTTATTTATATTAATTTTATGATTTGCTATTTTAATTAATCGCACGTGCACGATTATTAAATTTTCTTAGTAAAATATCTTTTAAAAATTTAATTTAATTCAAGATTACAGTACGTTTTATAAGTTTTCAATCAGATTTTGAGTTGGACTTCTAATGGCATTTTCTTCAGGAAAAAGAAAAATAATTAAAATGTAATTATCTAATGACAAAGATTTTAAACTAGCAACACTAAAATGAAATAATTCAATCTTGTGGTGTTAAGATTTCTTATGGCGAATAATAATATTTACCAGAAGATACATAGAGCCGAACATATATACATGATAATTATATATGTTCGGCAGAAGTCAAAATATTCAAACAACGAATCTAATCATCTAAAAAAATTTAATTTAGTTTATTACAAGACAAAATAAAAATACTAAATCATAAGAATTTATGTATTAACCACATTTTGTAAAACGAAATAAAAGAATTATTTATTATAACAGCAATATTTAATCGGTTTCTAAACATCGTTTTAAATTAAAAGAGCATGAAGTGTACTTGAAATGTGAATTGAAAAAGTACTTAGAAGAATAATTGGAAAAAACGTTGCCATAAAGTATTTTTTTAATCCTTATTATTTGTTTGAACAGTTTTGGAAGCAAACTAATTTATTACACAACGTCACGCATAGAAAAAAATTCTCCTTAAACAATGCAAAAGCTAGCTTTTTTTTTTTAACTTTTTGAATGAATATTATGAATGTTTAAGAATGTATTATTATATTATTCCCTAACACCTCATGCGTATTACGCTTATAAGCATATATTTTCTTTAAAGAATGAATTTCTTAAAACATGTAATTCTTCGGCGATTAATGCATTCCAATTATTTAAATAACATACAATTCTTTTATGAATTTATTGCTTAAGAAAATATTATACAAGCAATAAAATTAACACAAATAAGAAAAGCAAAAAACAGCAAACTTATATGTGAGTAAACTAATTTATTTTATTTTATTTAAGGGAAACAATTTTAAAAATTAGATATTTAAGCATTTTTTACAACAAAAAAAATAATTATATCGATATTATATTAATAAAACTTGACTGTATTACTACATTAGCTTAATAACAATATTTAGTAATGCTAATTGTGAAGCACTTTCGTGGTTTTCCTCTTAGTACACCAAATCAATTTTATTTAGAACTTTTTTTGTAAAAGTTAGTTTGTTGCAATATTTTATTTCAAAATTCCCCTTTCGTATGAGAAGAATACAAATTTGTTGCATGGATAAACTGTTCATCAATAGTTCTAAAAACTCAACTGTCTCGAACTACTTAATTTATGGAATGAATAGTGACCTAGTATTAATGTAATAATTTTAAACGACAATTTAGTTTAATTTCGAGATTACCTACCATAAAAATATAATTGTCTTTTTCAGAGCCTGACAAACGCAGGGGCATACGGAGCAGTTGCCCCGGGCCCCACATCAGAGGGACCCACCAAATCAAATTGAAAGTTTATTTCAGGTTTCCTTCATTAATGAACTTTTAAACAAAATATCAGTACAGTGTAAAATGAGGCCTGTTTTATTTTAACTTTTTCATTGATCTATTGTATGAACCCAAAAAATCTATATTTCGTAAATTCATGGCTTTCTAGGGCGGAATTCTGCTAAATTTTCGCAATTACGATGGACAAATTTGGGCAATCAAAGACCTGTATTTTTGCATGCAGCAAAACGCAATATGTTTACAAAAATACAGGCTTCTGACTGGCTTAATTGAGTCATCGCATTTACGAAAATTTTGCTAAATTCCGCCCTAATATCAGCAAGAATATGAATTTTTTCACAGCTAGATGACAAAGTTCACAGTACGATATTTCGTTTGACCATTGGAGGGGGTACTTAACACTAGATTGCCTAAGGAAGTCATTTTGACTGCTTTTAATTTCAATTAGAAAAACAATGATGTATATAATGACACAATTTCTTAGAATTTTGTACAACATAAATTTTTTTAATTGTTAATATTTACTAATAACTTGTTATATAAATGTAAATAATATGAAAAATTTTAAAAATTAATTTTAAACAAAATTTATTTACGCGTTTACAATCCAGTCATTTTGACTGCTTTTAGGCAATATAGGTATAGACTAATTTTCCGTCTTTCTAGTGTTAATAGCTATTTTAGGTTCTAGTCAATTTTCTAATTATCTATGTATAATGAGGTGAAAAATTTAAATACCGACATAAATTTCAAATCTTCATTACTGAAGAAGAGACGGGCCCCAATTAGGCTAAGTCGGGCCCTGGTCTTTTTATCGTTTCATGAATTGGGTACTTGCACTTCAAGAAGAAGAAGACCTCCTATAACCACACATGTGACCAATGATGTCAGTGCCAGCCAATCTTTATCAGCTAAATGGAGTATTGAAGTTGAGCTAAGTTTCTTTACGTAACTTAGAATTTTTAATAATGATAAGTAATACAGAGCCGTATCGCACATCGAATTAGTTGAAATACAATACTTTCTCATCTCCGTCTTTTACTTAACTTAGATTTATTTGTTTATGTATTTTATTGTAACCGTGATGTATTTTCGGTCTGTGTACCTCGCGACTTTCATGCATAATTAGTTTGTTTATGTTCCACATGGCTTCGCGCCTGTCTTTGTGTTAAGTCTCAGTGTAAATATATTGTGAAAGAATTGAAATCCTTAAAAAAGAATTTTCGTGAAAGAATTTAGGATGGGTCATTTAAGAGATACTTGACGGGCTTGGCTTACTTGAAATAGAATGGAATGAACAGTTGTTAACGTAAACAAATGCCACATTTCAACAACCAATTAGGATCAAGATATTCACACTACGTCACTTGCAGGTATTCTATTCCGGGCTGAAAAATCACATGATATAATCCTCGCTAAAAAAAAAATATCTTCGATTGTCGTTACTATAAAATTAATGAAAGTTATAAGGGTATTATTCACTTGTAAATTATTAACCTATCCCCTATATAACAGTATTTATTTATCATTCTTTCGTAATATTATTCTGTAGTATTGTCATGTTTTTTTAATATTATTTTCAATAGTTAAAGCTTAAAATTAAAAAAGCTATTTTCTATATCCTGCTATAAAGTAATTATATAATTACTAATTAAAGTAATTATATAATTAAAGTAATTATTAGTTACAAATTATGTATTGTTGACGTGCGATTGTTCTTGTTTTCCAGGGGCGCCATCTATGGGCAAGAATTCGACTTCTGCCACACCATACGTCATTCTCGTTTATAGGGCGGACTCATTCATACATCCACAGATCGTAATTTTGACCTGAATCTGAGAATGATCGATATGCCCCCAGAGGTATTGATTTGTTATGGGACCATGGAGGACTTTTGCGACTAGTGCATCAGTCACTTTACTACACGGGGAGTCTTCAAATGCCGGGGTTCGAACCCACGAACTCTCGGACATGAACCCAGTGCCCTACCGACCAGGCCATACCGGCCGCTACAAATCATATAGATAGATAGAAAGAATAGAGAGTTACCGTTTAACTATAATTAAACTGCAAATAAGCTAAAATTTGCTTTTCAATAAGCTTGTTACATTTACTTTTAAAAGAAGTTTTATGTAAAACAGACAACGCACTTAATTAAAATTACTATTTAAAATTCTACAGCTATCAACTTTATGCAAAAATATTTAACGAGTTCTTTACGCAGCCAAACATTAAAACAAAACTTTAAAAATAAGCTCGTGGGTGAAGTTGCAATAGTAACCGAGTAAAAATATAAGTTTAAACCTTATCACAATAGAAACAAAAACTAAATCTGTGTGAAAGTAAAATATTTTGGGATCTTTAATCGAAAAATTTTCATTTTCGATAAAACAACCTGCTTATTTTCAATTAACAAAAATGCTTGTAAAGTAATTGTGGAGATCAGTGGGCAAAGCAAAGCAGGAGGCGCTACCACCTTTTATTAACATATCGTCATCAGGTTCCTAAGTAATTTTTTAGAAACGTTCTTGAAATTACATTTAATGTTCACAGATATTATTTTAACTATTAGCTATTTTATTGTCTTAAATTATAATTAATTTCCTCCTTGTTAAAAAAGAAAAATATTTCTGGAACAGCCAGCTGTACGCCAAGGTACCATAAATGTGTGGAAAGCGACAGGAATGAGGTAATGCAGCCAGCTTCGCGCACAGGTCGCCTTTACTTCCCAAACAAGTCTTAGACACAGAGCCATCACCAATTTTTGTTGCATGTATACAAATACCTGATCTTGACTAAATCGGGTGTGGAAAATTTAGAATCTGAAATTAGTTTTTGTCCTAAGGCTGCTGATTTTTTTAAATAACATTTTTACTCTATATTTTGTCCAAATGTAGTACACGAATAAAAACGCTACGTATAACATTTCCGGGATTGGGCTCCTATGCAGTTTTAATCCTGATGATATGCCCTAACTTCCCTGGACGTTTGTCGCTACATTTACAGGACCCCCCTGTTATATATAACGTTTTTGAACTTTTACATTTCGACAAAATATAAATTAAAAATGTCATTAGAAAATAAAACCGTAGCTTGAGGTGAGAAATCGATTACAGATTCGAAAACAGTGACGAAAAAATATCTAAAATCCATTAAAAAAATCTCTCTCCCCAAAACAAAAAATATTTGTTACCTAGTGTTGCCATGTGTCCGATTGAATCAAGTTTCTAAATTTTAAGATTGCGTGTATCAAAACTTTTGCAAAGCTGCTAAAACTTAGCTTTGTATCTGATCAACGCATACGAAGGGTGTTGAAAATGGAAAAGCGGAATTAGCTCTCAAATGTTTAAATCGATGCTACACAGGATAGTACTTTCTTATTCAAAATACTGGATTTACTAATTATATAGACCTCCTATAAAGAATGGTCCAAACTATTGTTTCACTTTTTTTTTTGCATACTTATTTTTGGATTCAACATCACTAAACACCTTGTGTCTTTCATCATCGTCATGACTTTTTAGGTGTTAGTTTTTAAATTAAGCAAAAAGATCTTTATATAAATGCAATGAATATAAAAAATATTTAAGAACAGTTAAAAAAAAAAATTTTTTTTCTCCATCAAACTGTCTACAAAATCTTTAACAACTATTTCGTTGCTAAATATAAACTCATTTCCATTACTTAGTTTTACTTTATATGTGATATACTTTCTTTATAATAACAATAATTTTTCGGTATTTCTATATTGTTGTTGCTAATTTACGTCGCACTTGAGCGGCACAATGGGCTATTGGCGACGGTCTGGGAAGCATCCTTGAGGATGATCCGAAGACATGCCATCACAATTTTGATCCTCTGCAGAGGGAATGGCACCCCCCGCTTCGGTAACCCGACGACCTGCACGCGAAGTCGAGCATGTATTTCCAGCAGCAGCAACTTAACTTAAACATTGTAATTACTCATTCAGACACTGGGACAGCCTTGCAGTTCAAGTGACTGTATGATTTATTAAAAGACCGGAGAGGAATCGCACACTTTAGTATTCTTCACTGCATATATGCACACAATTTTTGAATTAAGAGTTTTTAAACACTTTCAAAGGGTTATTTCCTTTCTGCTAGTTTCGACATTATACAAGGATGATTGTCGCAGAGAGCGAAAATTTTATGAGCAAACAATCGATGTCAATTTATAAACCATACATGCTTCATAATTCACATAATTTTTTTAACTAACATTTATAATTACTACCTACATACAATACATACCTACTAATGCAGAATATCACACCTTTAGAGTAACTGATTCAAGAAAAAACTTACTTCTTAAAAGATTCTCGATATTGGATTTTAAAAAAGTGAAAATAGAAAATGCAATAATGAATTTTAAAATTGTGCAAATATGAATCACAATGCGCTTGAATACGAATCGCAATATTGGATTTTTAAAACGTGTGAATACGAATCACGATATTTGGTTTAAAAGCGAGTAAATATAAATCGTGATATTGGACTTTTAAATAAAGTGAATAGGAATTGCAATAAGCGATTCTTACATCACGTAAATACGAATTGAAAAGCGTAGCTTTTAAATCAGGTAAGTACAAAAATTGATGTTTGGCATTAAAATTGCGTGAATAAGCAGATTCTAGCACAGTTTCAAATATTCAAAATTGGAAAAATCCGTCAAACCAAAATATCAAATTGGCAATAGGAATCTTGGGGCATCTTTATAAAAAGAACTTTGTTTATTATTTTTTTCAACTACTCTCTCTAGTTACAGAATCGCTCGTAACCATGGCATCGTGAACAACGTTGCCACCGGAATTTGAGCCAGCACAAAAAACAATTAAATTATAACACCTCTTGACACATTCCCACCTTTGATTGTTCTTAACAATCAAACACAAATCTCTTAGACATTCAAAGGTAGAAGAAGCTACAACAGTTGACGTCTAACGAAACTAAAATTAACTGTAACGAGTTGGTTTTCGTACAGCCCTACCACATTTAGTTTTCATTAAGTCTGCGCATCGTTCATCATCTCTAATCTCTCCAAATTCAGTTTCACCTTTGAGGCTATCAACTTTAGTTTTATCTTTAAAGTTATTGATCTTTACTTGTTTAAATGGTTCACGGTTAAATATTTCATTTGTGAAATCGAGTTCCAAAGGATGCAATCGTTGCACAGGACGAATTAGTTCGCCTTTTCCAGTTTTCAATTTTACGACTCTAACCGAGTTGTCCTTCCCAGGGAAAACTTCAACTACTCGTCCCATTGGCCAGTCCAGTCTCCTTTTGTCACACTCGATGAGGACCACATCTCCAATTTGTATTCGCTTGATAGGTTTTTTATTTTCCTGCCTATGAATAAGCATACTGAGGTACTCTTCCCGAAATCTCTTCCGGAGATCCTCTCTCAATTTCTGTTGATATCTGCACCTTTTGGCCAGGTTGACGCTATCTAAATTGTCTAAGTCAGGCACTCCCACCGTTTGAACGTCCTGAAGGAACATAGCTGGGGTTAGTGGTGTTAAGTCCTCTGGATCTTCAGATAAATAGTTGAGTGGCCTGGAGTTGATAACTGCTTCTGCATCACATAGAACGGTACTCAACTCTTCAAAATTTATGGATGCTTTTCCTAAAACTCTTCTCAGAAGGTTCTTCACCATTTGGACCATACGCTCCCAAAACCCACCCCACCAGGCGGCTGTAGGAGGGCNTGGCGATAAAGTGACGGAACTCGCCGCTCCATTCAACACAATTTGTTTACTGAAAAATATTTCACTTTCTGCTCTTGCCAAATCCATTTTTTGATCATATTCTTCAATCTTACTATACTCAGCTTCAAATTCAACGTCTGTTTTTATATCGTTCAAAATTAATTCGTCACATTCTTTCATTTTATTAAAACTCTATCTAAAGTAAAACACTGCTGTTTGATGTTTTTACTGTCAGGCGTTTGTTTTTCTAATTCGTCAAATAAACTTCCTATGGTTTTGGTAAAAGTCATTCTAAGTGGTTTACGTTTTCTGATTATATCCTCCATTATACAAAAATTCAATGCTTTTCCTCTCACTATAAAATATTTCACTAACCTGTGTCAACTACGGATCACGTCGACGGGTCACCAAATGTTGTGTCCTTATGTAAATAACAAGTTAGGAATCTTGAGGCATCTTTATAAAATGAACTTTGTTTATTATTTTTTTCAACTACTCTCTCTAGTTACAGAATCGCTCGTAACCATGGCATCGTGAACAACGCTGCCACCGGAATTTGAGCCAGCACAAAAAACAATTAAATTATAACACCTCGTGACACCAATGAAATCATACAGATATTATTATTTTAAAAATTCCGCATAATCTTGCATTGTTTTGGAAAAATTTACTTATTAATACAATTTATAGGATCCTTAAGAAATTATACACAATAACTTTAATATTGTTTAAATTGAATTTTATACTATACTAAAATAGAATAAATCTCAATATAGTTAAGTCTGTAATCAAGTAACAGAGAAACCTTTTTTACTCTTTGTTATTTGCAGTGTTCAATCGATCCAGCCTTTTCGTTTTTATTAAAAACCAGTTTAGAAATGTTTTCAAATTTAGTCTAAGCAATTTTCCTACATTTGCATACTTCCTTTTAAAAAATAAAACTTGATAAAAAAATTAACAGCAGTTGCTGTAATAATCTGCAGCCCTCCATTGCCATGCTAGAGGGTTTCTACTATTGGGGCAACAAATTTTTATGATTTATTTTTTATCATTAAACTAACGATTTATTAAAATCTTCCTTGCTAAACTAAGATTCTTGTTAAATCATGGCTTACAATAAAGGAGTTTAATTGTATTTTAAATAGACAAATAAACGCAATATACTTTAAAAAATTGAAACTTTGTATCTTCACTGCTGTAATCTTCTTTATGCATTAAATGCATTGCAATTAAGACACTTCCAATTAGGGCAATTTGTTTCAGGCTCTCTGCATTTTCTATATATAAATAACTTATGAATTATTCTCTGGTTAAATTTGAACCACATAAAAAAACCTAGATATTCATGATGTATGGAACTATATGACTCTGTTTATGAATCTTCTTATTGCATTGAATACATATAGAAATACACACTTCAAATTAGAATGTCGTGTCTCAGATTCGATTCAAAGCATTTAAAATATGTGAATAAAGAGTGCAATATCCTTTAGTTAAATTTTAACTAAGTAAATAAACTCTATATATTTTTAAAATTTAACTGCGTTAAAATTTAATATTTTTATTGTTGTATGAATCTTGTTTTTATTAAATAATATTGCAATCTAGACACTAGACATTTTAAATTTGAGTGTTTTATCTCATCCTCTGTATTTCAATTATGTAAATAACGAGTGATTTTTCATGGTAATAAATAAACACAATATATTTTAATAATTAATGTTTGGAACTCTATATCTCTATTGTTGCATGAATCTTCTTGTATTGAATAAATATTGCAATACACACTTCAAATTAGAGTGTTTTTTAAATTCCTTGAATCTCAAACATTTCTGTGTTGAAATGCATTAAAAGATACAAAAACTATTTAGCTGGAAAAAAAAAACTATTTTGAAATTTCTAATCATGAAATTAAAAATTAATAAGAAGATTTCAGTTGTTATTTAACAAAGAAACAATAAAACAATTTGATTCACAAACTCATGAAATAAAACACCAACAACACACTTTAATGATTCAAGGTATGATATTTTAATATGCTAATTGAAAAAAAATACTATATGAAATTGATAACATTATTAAATTCTATATATTAAACCTAGTTCCACCATCTAATCTTATTACTTCACCATTCAACATTGAATTTTCTATTATACATTGAACTAAGTGTGCAAATTCTTCAGGATATCCAAACCTTTTTGGGAAAGGTGTAGCATCGGCTATGAAATTTACAACTTCAGGAGGTAGAGTACTGTTTAAAGCAGTTGCCATATAGCCTAAAAAAAATGATTTTGAAAAATTAAAGCAAGGTAATATTACTTAACCCTGAACTCTTAAAACAATACATTTGCAAATATTTTAAATAGTAATTATTTTAATCAAAAAACCATTTTTAAAAAACTCTTAGTAATATGAAAATAAAGAAAATGAAACAATAAAATCGAAATTATAATTTTTATTTGTCATTAACAAACAATATTGTTTTAAAAAAAGCACTAGGGAGATTGGAAGAACAAAATATTAATCAACGTTAATGAAATGAAATTTTAAAAAAAAGACTTGAAATGAAAAACTGCATAAACAGCTTTGCCAAATCAACTTTTTATATGATTTGCTGTAATTTAATGAAATCATAACTTCATTGAAATAGTGTTATATATTTTACAAAATACTTGTACACAATATAAAACAAATTATTTAAAAAGGGAATGTTTTGAGAGCATTAGAAGTTTTAGTTAGAAGATTAGAAGTTAGTATAAATTATTCAAAGCCTGATGTAAATTTGGGATATTATGCTTACAGATGTGTACACCAATATTTGATTTAAGCATAATTTGACCAATAACCTTGCATAATAATCTCAAAACTATTTTAAACATAAGTTTCCAGCATCTTTTTTTTTATTAAATTAAATTAAATTTAGCATAATTAAAAGTTCTTAATTCCTCAAGCTTTTTTTCGAAAAATAATAAAATTAATAAAAGAAAAAGAAACAAGCTTCAAATATATTAGACAATTATTTTGCACATGTTTTTCTCACATATATTCATTGTAAATTCATAAAACAACTTTCTGTTAACTAGTTATTTCTAATTTAGTTAAAGATTTGGAGATTTTTTCCATTATATCATAATTATTATAACACATTTTTTTCATGTGGAACTGATACATTGATCTTTTGATTTCATGTTATTCTTGGTGACTTGGTTTTTACACCTACAAAGTAGCGTAACCTTTACAGAGTAGCGTAACTACCACTACAACTATTCAATTTCCTTTTACTAGTATATTAAGACATGCTAGACCAGAACTCTATTTTATCTGAAGGTACCTTTTGATAGAAGATGGTTGACACTGACAGTAGCCTAGCCCCACTCACGGGTGACTCACGGACGTGATCAGAACATGCAGCCTCTAACTGAAACACCCACTTTAATTTGAACCCTCCTACTTAATGGATAGTTGGCTCATATTGAACAGTTGACTCGCTATTTGTGACTGCGACGCTGTTGCTACTCAGTCACACACAACGGCGGCCTGTACACACTTGACTGCAACAAAAGAGGGACTACGCCCACAACCATGATCTTAATACAGCACTCAAAATCCGGTGATGTCAATACAGCTCTCTCGCCCTCACATAAAACAGTGGTAATCAACTAGTGGTGACCGTTCATCAAATTCTATCATAGATAAAAATTCTGGTGGAGGAATAATGTAGCATAACTACCACTACAATAATTCAATTCCCTTTCACTAGTATATAAGACATGTTAACTCGATTCTATCAGGAGGTACATTTTGATAGATGACCACACACATTCCCCACAATAGATTCTTTTTAAAAAAAACTGCCAAGGAAGCAACAATTTTTTTGCTTGCCTTTTCTCTTATCCAAAATAGATCTCTGAAAAATAGACATAACCGATCAAAACAATTAGAGTCAGAGGATGAGAAAATTGTAAGGAATGAATATTTTTTTGTTGTTGTCTAGTTTAGATTATTAGTATAAACATTGCACTGCATTGCTTAGTGATTTGGAAATGATAAGATTAACTGTATGAGCATTTCAAATTTATCACACTCCTTCCAAATCCACAAGTTCTCGATGAGTTCTCAGGATATCATTTGCTGTTGATTTTAAGAATATGAACAGTTTTTTCTCTAAAGATTTCTACATAAAAGTTAGAAACTCTTAATTTGGAAGATGAAATTATGATGACACGGATGGAAATCAAGATATAACACTAAAGTATGAAATTCCCTCAAGCACACTTTTGATGATATTGGAGAGAGAAAATATCCTTCATGATACAAATCTAAGAACCCGCAATTAAAAAGACATTTGCTGTTACTTCAAAATGTCCTTATTTATTTCAATTATCTAACATGAAGTTGAACTTATGATAGATTGAAGCTTTTCATCTGTCTTTTTTAGATAAGAGTGATAGCAAATGTATTGTAAATAACAGAGATAATATTAAGAGAGGATAAGTTTTAAAGTAATCCTTTTTAATTACTTACCCGGAGCTATCGTATTACAGCGTATACCTTCAGGAGCCAGATCTCTAGCCATAGGAAGAGTCATTGAGGTAATAGCATGGCAACTAGCAGCAAATGATGTTTGGCCAACAAGTCCTTCAAATGCAGAAATACCAGATGTGTTGATTATCACTCCTCTCTGTCCGTCAGCATCAGGAGTATTTTTTGCTATCATTTCTACAGCTAACCTGTTGACATTAAACGTACCACCAACATTAACCTGAATAAAAAAAAAAAAGATATCCTAATGATCTCATACAGATCAATATTATATGCCAATATTTTACTACTGACATACTCTCAAATCTATGAAATTAAGAACAATAAATGAATATGAATTGTATAAATTCCATTTATCATATATTTACATCATAATAATATCATATATTATTATATGATACTGTAAAGTAAACACATAGAAATACTAAAAATTAACAAGTGAAAGGCATAAAACAAAATTAAACAGCACACATGCAGAAACTATTTATCACAGAAAAATTCCTCAATTTTATTACAATTAAATTTTAAAAGTGTCGTAAAGTTACAATTTCAGTCACTCTTTTCCGAAATAAGAACTTTTTATGGCTGCATTTCTTTTTAAGGAAAAATATATTACTCAGCTGTAAAAAGTATACCACCGCTTTCGAAAATGACACATGTAGATTTTTTACTTCACAAAAATATAGGTATGTGGAACAACCTTATCAATAAAATGGCTAATATTCTGTTTCGTTTTAGTTTCGAAGTAGTGTTCAGGCCTGTTAAAAAAAAATCAAATATAAGTTCCTTAAAGATCTTATTAATATTGATAATTCCAAAGGCATTAATCACCGTTACAATACAACCTTAGCTACATTGGGTAATCCAGATAAACTTTAAATTTTGATAAAGGAAACATCATTATTATAAATTAATGTGCAGAATCAAAATTTCAAATTTTTGATGTTATGGTGGCTATCAAGAATTTGATACTGCACATTGTTGGATCCTTGAAATAAATTTAACTTTGAAAACACCAAAACTCTTTCTACCCTTGTCACACCAGTTTTCTTGAAGATTTGGTTGTTTCTTTATCTATATGAACGTTGACTTCCTTGTTAAGTGCATTACCCCCCATCATTCCACTTTGAAATGAATTCTGCCCAGATTATCCTCTTTCTTCCAACCTTGTTATCCTTGGCTCCCACATTTTTTTTAACTTTAAATCTTTTCTGTTTCATTATTTCTTTTCTTTCCTTCTTTTGGCAAAGCTGCAATTCTCTTTTTTTTTTTTTCAAATATATTTTATTTTCATCATTCACATATAGGTAGTCAGGGGTCTGTTTAGAAGAAATTTGGGTCCGTTAACGGACCCTTCACAAAATATCTTTTCATAAAAACGGACCCTTCACAAATTATTTTAACTTAAAAACGGACCCTTCCCAAAATATTTTAACTTAAAAACGGACCCTTCACAAAATGATTTTTCTTTTAATCGGACCCTTCACAAATTTTTTTTATCTTCATTATTATTTTGTTAATCGAATAAACCCTTTCCAGGGCAGAAAACAAGAAAGATGGATGTAAACGTATTAAGTTTTGTCATCGGCAGACGATTCTTCCATTATTCGTCCGAAATGAATATTCTGCGTTCAGCAGTATAGGCTAAATACCAAATATTTGTATGTTGCATCTCTAATTTAGAAGGAGAAATTGTTGTTTATTTTTTAAAATTTAATTTTTTAAATTACAATTTTACAGTGTTGAGCATAATCTTGTATGTCTATACAATTTAAAAACTCTTTGAAAAAAAAATTTTTTTTTTCAATAACGGACCCTGGTTGTAAGAATGTGAGTAATTTTTTCACAATTTCACGAAAAACGGACCTTTCACAAAATGTCTGGACAGACCCCTGGTAGTAATTGATGCCATTTCCTGTTTCAAGCACTCAAAACATGTCAACTTTTTTCATCTTAACTTTTGAAGCTAATGAATTTATCCCATTTACAAGCATGAGCTTTTTAGTTATCTATTGAATCATTACAATTTCAGACACTTTTCAAGAAAATAAAAATTATTTTTATTGCTATTCTTTGAAAAAGATACAATTCAGTTACAAAGTGTATAGCATATTTTAAAAAAATGAGATAAGTAAAAACTATTTATTATGTAAACACATGGGTTCAACTTTGGCAAACAAAGAGCTAGGGGCATGCTCATATGAGGAGAAAGTCGCTTCCCCAATCGTGGTCTAGAATCGTGGCCCCAATCTAAAAACAAACAGTAGATAATCAGGTGCTTTTTCTATCTTACATAGACTATACTATACTAGTTTATTGGTTCTTATTGCAATTTTACGAGAAATAGCATGTATATGTGTAGTATTAGCAAATCTACAGTGCCACTTGGTAGATTATCTAAGACAATATGATAAGTATTAAAAAAATTCAGAGGTCAATCTAGAGTTTCTTGCAGGGGTGCTTTCTTTCTTTTTATTACTTAACTTTGTAAAAATAGGTTTTTCAATTATTTTTGTTAATAACAAAAGGCCTAATTCGAGGATATAATTATTTTTCCAAAAACCACAATAATATAAGACTATAGAACATATATATTTATAACAAACTAATTTGCATATCGTTGAGAAAATTAATCAGGTTCATCTTCTGTAAGTGTGTTAGGTTCATTTTAATGGACCAAAACCAGAGTCAATATATTTGGTTACATAATGTATCAGTGAATGGTCCTTTTTTGATTTTAATTTTTGTAAAGGGCCCTTAAACAGATTTATTTTCCTTCAGATTGTCTATAAAAGTTACATAAAGGCATAAAATCATAGAATTAGATAAAGTTATCCTTTTCAAAATAAAATATTTTAAATATAAGTTAAAGTAATCAAATTTGATGATTAGACCATGAGTTAAAATACAAGGGTTAAAAGTGTTTCTCACCTCTATTATTTTTTCCATGTCTGACAGTTTTTGAGCACGATCTTTCAGAAAATTAAAAATTTTGAATGCAATGCTAACACCAGCACAGTTGACAACAACATCAAGCTTCTCAAATTTGTCTTTAACAATATTTAATGATTTTTGGATGTCACTTTCAGAACTAACCTAAGGTTTAAAAGATATACAGTGTTAAAGTTACAGTATTAAAGAAAAAGTATAATTTAAACTTATGAAAATAATCACTTCTGAAATAAACAGAAAAATATAAAAATCTTAAACCACATTTAAAATTTTTTACTTATTTTTGAATAATTACATCAGTTGGTGAAAATATGCATTGATCTCCTAATTCTTTTGCAACCTCGTCACCCTTTGAAGTAGGGAGATCGCATAGCACAACTTTTCCACCTTGCTCAATTAATCGTTCAACGGTGGCTTTTCCTAATCCAGAAGCTCCTCCTGTCACTAGGGAGACAAGGCCCTAAAAATAAAGAATTGTAATTAATAAAATACAATCAAGAACATTATCACCTTATCATTTCTCAAAGAAATGATAAATCAATGAAGAGATAAATTTGGCAACAGGAATAAAATTTAAACAATCTCTGTGAATATAAAAGTGGAAATGTATATTACGTTAATTATATGGGTGTTGTTTACTAAAATATGATTTACGAATTTTTTTGCCAAATAAAATTATTTGTTGCGGTGTGATTTTTTCAGTCTATTTTAACAGTGGATTATATAAGACCGTGATCTAATGAGTGTGAATATTACAAGAAATCTGCTATTACAGTATAGCCACTCTCCAAGTAAAGCCAAATTCTAAGAATAAAAAAAATGAATAAATAAAAATTAATAATAACTATTACAAGCTCACAATACTATGAATTTATTTTTAAAATTAAAAGTTTTGAAGTAACAATGGTTTAAGAATAATTTTAATAAAAGAAAAGTTTATTTTATAAAAAGTCAAATGAACAAAATAATTAATCGATATTATTTCTTAAAATAGCAATGAAGACAAGCAAATAAATTATTATGTTTTTATAAGTTAGTCTGAGTCAAAGTTAAAATGTGCAATAATTGATAAAAATATAGGCGCATTGAACTTTCGTGCCATCATTGGTACAGTATTGCCCATTGTTTACTCTTTTAAGAATTTCCTGAGTTAATTGTAAATTTCCCAGAAAATTCCAGACTCTCCTAGCGGCATTTTCAAATTTCCTGAAAATTTAAGGTTTCCTCTGATTCCAGGTAAAGTGGCTACTCAGTATGGATGGGTGATCGTTTAAAGCTAAGGGTGGTGGCGCTAGTGGTTAAATTGCTCTCGTAAGACTTCAGGTTACTGCTTCCGATATATTTTTACGCCGCAGATTGAAAAAAATGTGCCATCATATTATTGCATCATATCTTTTGCAGTATTTCACATGTACCGAATTCTTTCTTTCAGTCTTTAAACTTCAGCATTATCATATTAATATTATAATCATTAGAATATTTTCTAATTAGGCTAACTTAAAAAGATATTTTTGGCGACATTTTATTCAAATGTAGCCAAATAAGGGATAAAATACAAAACATGGCAAACCTTAAGAATTATTCACAATGAGATATTAACTTTCCAAAATTTTTTTTGGCCTTACGACCTCTGAGAATCAATACATTTCTGAAAGCTCTTATGAATGGTACAATTATGTTTAGATTTGAACCCAAATTACAATAACAAAACTGCATAGAATATTAGGCTTGTTCACACATCGCCTTGTAGTCATAACATAAGCGGAGGGATACACCGGAAATTTTCTAAATTTCTTTCGGTTTAAGGACGCTTGTTATTGTTTACATTAGGCTACCCATCCATTACGACGAATCTACTATCAAAATGCCAATGTAGAAAATACAGGAATTGCATACTTAGAACAAAATAAAATTATTACCAGTCCAGGGGTCTGTCTAGGTTTTTCTGAGAGGTACCTATTTTGTGAAAATTTAGACATAATTTGTGAAAGATTAAAAATTATATTAAAAAATCAACACAAAAATAGGGATTTATCGTTTCTTAAGGGATACAAAAATAAAATTTTAAGAAAAAGTATTTTGTGAAACTACCGTTTTTCCTTAAATTGAATTTGTGAAACTACCGTTTTTCCTAAAGTTGAATTTGTGAAGGTACCGCTAAACGGTAGTAAATTCGGCCTGGACAGACCCCTGCAGTCTGTTATTGTGGCAGATTTTCTTTTAAGAGAAATGCATTTTTTTGCTGTTTATTATAGGAATAAGTACAATATTATACAAAATAGGGCTGAATACGAAACAATTTTATATACTTCTGGTATTAATACAGAAATACGAACATGATTTCACCCTTTTGTCTTACAATTTTAACCTTTTATGCTATAAATGAGAGTTTATATCCTTCTAATTGTTCATCTACTGTGGTGTTTATTTGTTTATTTTTTCTTTAAAGTTTCTCAGGCAAAAGTAGGATTGTTTGCACCCGCAAGTTGCCAAAACACGGTGATTGCTTTAATGGAGCTACTAATAACGAAATCTCCACAATTTACAAAGCAAACCAAGGTGGCCTTCCCGCAAACACTAAGGGAAAAATTCCCTTATTTTTGTAAACTCATTTTATTTCTTTTTCCTTGACTTTTGTACCTGGTAAGTAATTAAATTATAAAAATTTTATAATAATTTTTTTAATTCATGCGTTATTCTTATATATGAAATATGTTACAAAACATTCACACATGCTATAAAGCTGGGGGGTAATTTTTTTTGAAAAAAATCAAGTACAATAATTGTAAAAAGTACAAATAAGAAAATAAAGTACAAAAGTCAAGTACAATCAAGTAAAAATGTCAGGTTTTTAGTTAGCTCAAACATGGTTAATTTATTTATTTTCTAAGACTTTTTGGGTATTACAGTTAAATTCCTTTATTTTCCAGATTAATAAAATTCCCAGTTTTGAGGTCACAGTACAAAATAGGTCCATTTTTTAAAAATCTAAACTCAGAGCCTTTTACTGACCACGAATCTACCACGTCCGCCTTATTTCTCTTCTTGACAGATTACTTGTAATTATTACACATTCAGAGTTATCACTCACATCAAAAGCTATAGCACATTTCGAATTGTTTGCTTATTGCTATTTCAATATTAAATAAGAGTGTGTGCTTATAACTACAATTCCATCATTTACTATAAATTACCGCTACAACGGACTTGTATTGTATTTTAATTAGCAAACATCAGTAAATTCAAATCTATACGCAACTTGCCGGTGTGTTGCGTATAATTAAATTTAAAAAGTAATGATAAGATAATCAAATTTACGTAGGAATAAAATAGATATGACGAGAAAAATCACTTAAACGATTACATGGTGTACAGCATGTATTAAAAAAGCTAAAAAGTAAAATAAATCGGATTTCACTACCTTCAGAGATCGAAAACTCGCCATTGCCATGTGTTTGTTTACATTTGGATTTGAGCATTTGTCAACCGAGAAAGTAATGTATGTAGCACACAGGAAGCTAGCTTATAACTTTGTAAAAGTAGATACATTATTCCATAATTATCTTTTTTAGTTTAATATGCATTTCATTCTAAGCATAAAAAAATAATCAACCTAAATAATTCTTTTTTCTTTCACTAAATAAAGAATAAATCCGTGAACTCTTTTCTTGCACATATTGTTCTATTTTTCTCTAATGGCATCAGTCTCATACACATGTGGAAATTGTATTGTTTACATTTTTACGACCGGCTTTGTTTACTTGGATTTAAATGTCTGTTGAAAAGTTTTAAACTGTTTTGAAAGTAATTAATTGCTGAAATGCAAAACCTTAAAGTAAGGAAAAAAGTTTATAGAAGGGAATTAAATTTTACCTATAACTGTATTGGTGTATGGTATGCTATTTACAATTAGAGTGAATGATTTCATGATGCAATTCTTTAACAAATCAATTTATAAAATAAGAATGTACTTTTAACCGCATTATAAAGCACTTTTATATTTTGAATGAGATTTGAAATTTTTTAATTAGTTTGAAATTTTCCAGTTACTTTAAAACTTTTCTCTTTATTAAATATAGTAGGAATTATGGAAACATGATAAATTTTGACTTCAATATTTAGTATCTTATCTTATTATTAATATCTCTAAAATATTACCTTACAGAGGGTACCCTTCGTTATAATTCTTATTATAGTGCTAAATATGAACCACATTCTCAATATTCCGAAACATCTTCATTTCTTTTAGAATTAAAGATTATGAAAACATGATTAATTTTTAGGTTTATATCTAAGATCTTATTTCTATGCAGTTGGTTATTTATTGTATGCGGTGCATCAAGAGCGGGCTTTTATTTTGGTTATGATTTAAATAAAATTAATTTGGTTATGCTCACAATCAGTTATCCTTATTTTATTGATTTTCATTTTTACTAAATCTTATATGTGTGGCTTTCATCGAACATTTTGTAAATTTAACTATGTTACTTCATTTATTTTAACTATACAAACTGGTACATAGTTGTCAGAGCTATTACAACATCTATCATAATTTTTTTTATTACCTAATTTTTATTTTATTTTGAAAAGTTTTACATTTTCTAGAGGATAAAATTTACATTAATGTTAAAATTATAATAATAATGCTAAAACTATAATATAATAATAATGCTAAAATTATGTCTATATAATAAACTATCAATGATATTATGATGCTCTCTTATGTTATTTTATAGTGCAGGCAACTGACTCTTTTATCACTTCTGTATATTTCTAAGGCTATGATATACTTTTTATCTAAAAAACCTCGGTGCTTTTGTAAAAATACGTTTTGTTTGTAGAGTTTTCTGATAATTGTTTGTAATGAATATTTATTTATGGTTTTCTTTTATTAATTTTTTTAGAATTTAGTAGCTCTTGTGACTGGAGCTGCATCTGGATTTGGTCTCTCTACTGCTGAAAGACTTCTTAAACAAGGTGCTAAAGTTGTTTTGTGTGATATTAACTCCTCTAAAGGGCAGGAAGTGGCTAAAAGGCATGAGGAAAATAGTTTATTTATTGCTACCGATGTGAGTGTCTGTCAGTTATTCTATTGATCGTTAAAAATATTTTTTTTTCAGTGCTTGTCATAAATTTTTATTTTGTTCATTGGAAAAAATAGTTGACTTGCATGATTTTTGTTTTGTTATAATCAAATTTCGTGCTAATGCATACAATTATTTTAATGTTAGACCTATTTCTGGAAATAATAGAGGATTGAGTGCTATTTATTTTTTTAAGAAAATGTGAAGTTAACCTTTTTAAAGGATCTTTATTTAGCTTTACGAAATAATGAATAAAAGCTTTATAAAAAGTAAAAGTATATTAAATATCAGTGAATGTATTATTTAAATAATAAGCAAAATATTCAGAAACACAGATGCAGCAATATAAAAATTTATGAATTGAAAGAAATCTTTAATCTATTTATGTGATTTTTTTCATTATTTTAATGAGTGTTAACCTTAAGCAATTGCTGAATATAGTAATTGTTTAAGGTTCAATTTATCATAAGAAACAGATGAAAATGAAAACTTCTGTGAAAGTTTATCAATATCTTAAAATTAGGTTGAGTTTTTGACTCAGCAGAGGTAAAGACTGTATTTTTACTCATTAAAACCATCAAAAACCTACTTTTTAGGCCCTTCCTCTCCAATGTCACGGAAGATCTGACTTTTTGATCAAAATGTTTTTGACATGACTGTAAGAACTGTCAAAAATTTGACAATCCTATTTAAAATATGTTATCAAATTTTTATCATTATCCCATATCAAAATTTTTTTTTGTTTCATATCTTTGTTAATCTTATAAAAATTGTAAAGGCAAATATTATTTGAGTGAATGTTATGACAGTGGCAATTTCGCCTTAAGGCGTGCTGCACTCACCTTTCAGATACAGCTATGAAACAAAGAGGAATTGTTCTGGCTGGTGTGTGAGTTCAGTTATAGTTTGCTTGCGTAGAGAACTCCCTTTGTCATTGGTCTGGAGAAGTGGCAGTGACTATGGTTACGAGGTTTAACTATTTCAAGTAAGGGTGTTGGGTCATTATTTGAGCTCCCTCTTTGAAATGTGCTATTTCTTGTTTCCATAGCAGCAGGCAGCCTTAGACTTCGTGGTGAAGAGAGTTTTTTCTATAAATGAACTATAGACTGTGTAGCTTGAGCAATTATTTTATGTTAAATTGTTTTGTCTTCTTAAAAAAACTATGATTTGTTTTGAAACTCATTTTCTCCTAAGAACACGCCATATCAAATTATCATGTTACAGACAGATAACAATATTTAATATTAACTTAGAATAAGTAAAATGGTATTATATTTGAAGATACGATATCTTGAACTAGGAACTGAAAAGGTGTTTTTATTGATGGTCATATGGCTTTTATTTTAAAAAAGGAATGATTATTTTCAGTTTTTATTTTAGCTTAAATGTGAGGTTAGATTAGCACTTTATTATCATAATTTATTTAAAGATTGTGCTTTATTTCTCTTCAAAGAAAGACTGTCGACTATTTAAAGGAGTTTTTTGGTAGAGTTTAACCCCTTGACAGTGTCTCCCGAGTCCAGTTCGGGCAACTACTGCGTGCTGTATTTGTGGTGCCTAAACTCACTTCGGGCAGGAGGAAAATTAACGTTTCTATTTTGTGATGCCTGAGCTGAGTTTTTTTCTACTTTAGGATACTTAATTCACTATTTTCGTAATAGATGGCATTAGTGGTCCTAGTTTTTCATCAATTATGACTTCAGTTGAGGGAGGGAAAATGTGAATGTTGTCAAATGCTCAGATAAACAAAGACACAGTTGGATTGATAAACAAAGACAGTGTTTTGCTTTCTCGTTTAGTTTCTGTTGCTTTTCAGTGAGTTTTTTTGCAAATAATTTTCTTTTTTCGCGTTGTCTGATGAGGAGTACAGCTTTGGTGGATCGGTGTGTAATCTATTACTTTTTTATGTGTATGTAAAAATTTTAAAAACAGTAGTTATTGCATTTAAAATTTTCTTTTTGTAATAAAAAACCATTTTCTGACTTTTATAATAATATAAAGAACAAAATTAAACAGTCACAAAAAATTTCCATTTTTGGTCAATTTTTCTGAAATATATGTCACTGTTAAGGGGTTAAATATTTAAATGTCTGAGGTGAAATTTTTATAAAAAGACTTTATTAAAATAAAAAAAGTAAGATAATTTTTTCTTAAAAGACAAGGATGCATTTATCTCTGTTAAAAAGCAGTCAGGATAAGCCTTGAAAAGATGCTTAGGGAGAATACCAATTATGCTAGTAATTTCCTATGTTTGGTAATTTACTTAAGGAGTAAACTTCATTTTTACCTCAATTGATGACTCATTAACTTTAACATATCAGTTTTTTGTAAAATGAGTAAATTTATTTATATATTTATAGGTCACTTGTGAAAATGATGTAAAAAAAGCCTTAGAAACCTGCTCAGAAAAATTTCAAAAACTAGATCTGTTAGTCAATTGTGCTGGAATAAATGTTCTGGGAAAAACATATGACTTTCAGAGAAACAAGCCACATAGTCTGGAGGAGTTCACGAATATTCTTCAAGTATGTTTCCTTTATATATATATACAGTCAAACCCCACTATAGTAAATACAGTTATAATGAACTCCCAGCTATAGTGAACAAAATGTTCGGTCCCGTGCCTTGCTATACACGTATAATGTTATTTTTTGTAGATATAGTAAACTGAAAAAGTGAGGAAGTTGGATATAAGGAACTTTTTTCTGTCTTCAACTGATTTTTTTCTTAATTTTTTTGGTGATAATTTTGAAATTTCTACTTCAAAATAAATACCTATACCGATTTTTAAAACCATATACAGAGGGGAATGTAGCTATAAGCATTTTTTTTTGCCTCTTTTATCTTGCTTTCCCATCCCTAAACAAACCAAGCAGATGTTTCCAAACCAAGCAGATGTTTCCAAACCAAGCAGATGTTTCCAACCCAGGCAGATGATGCACCTATATGGTGTCAGTGGGATCAATATGCATTTTCTGTCAGAGGGAATGAGTCATTATTGGTCAAAGGGTTGGACACTAATATGTGTTGATAAGGACCTCATTTCAACTCCTTTTTGCTCGCTGTTCAGTTTAAAAAAGCCTGCAAACAAGTTTCTCAAATTTAACTATGGCGACCAGTAAACGTAAGACGATCTTCATTGATGATAAAATGGGCATAATCAGAAAAATTGAAAATGGATGCAATCCAGCTGATATTTGCAGAGAATATAAACTGTCCAAATTTGCAGTTTGTAACATATGGAAAAATAAGCAGTTAATAATTTCTGCTCAGGAAAAAAATTTAGTTACCAGAAAAAAGTTAAGAAAACCAGATCACAAGGATGTTGAAGAAGCATTAATGAAGTGATTCAGCATTAGAAGAAGCCACAATCTTCCAGTATCTAAACAAATGTCGACGAATTTGCTAAGTGATCTTATGAGACTACTTTTATGTGCTCGAACGGCAGGTTATACAGGTTTAAAAAGCGGAATAACAGAAATTCAGAAAAAATTATCTGAGAGTCGGAAAGTGTTTCCATATCTGATGTTGAGGATTGCTCATCAGCTAGAGATTACTAATTTTTTTTTGTTGTTGTGCGCAAGACGAAGAGTAATAAAAAAATAACGCATGTTTTGCTACTAGATAATGTTTTTCAGTCATTTATTTGGATAATGTGTAATAAAAGGGAGGAATTAAGGAACCATTAGTTAAATTGTCTGCGTAACGGATATAGTGAACTCCCGGTTATAGTGAACCAAAATGTCGGTCCCTTGAATGTTCACTATAGCGGGGTTTGACTGTATGTGTATATATTATTTTCTTCTTTTACTTTTAAGATTGATAGATTATATGTTTTGTTTTTTTTTATGCTGGGTGGAACTTTTATGTCTGAAGTGGATTTTTTTTACTAAAGTATATTGATTTAAACATGATGATACTGATGCAATTCTCAGCCAAGAAATTACTATATGACTAGAAATAAACATATTATTTTCTAGAAAACCTTAGAATTTATCTTAATTTTTCTGTTGTCATTCTGTAATAACAGAATTTATCATTTTGTCTATTATTTGTGTTAAAAGAGATGGCGCTGCCATCACATGACTTTTAGGATTTACTGCCTTCCTAAATGGAGTTAGTTTTGTACCAACTAACTATGCGTAAGATTGTCTGGCCTAAGATAGTTTGTTTATGAAGTATTTTTCTACTTTGTAATAAAAATTATTAAGTTTTATTTTGGAGTTTCTTTAATAAGTCCATATCAATTGAACCACAGTTACTACACTGATGCAGTCGGTGGGAATTTTTTATGGATTTATTTGAATAAGAACTATTTTCAATTTTGAACTGTTCTTATTGATTATTTAAAGTTTATTTTCTTTGCAAGAGGCAAGAAAAAAGACTTGCTGACTATTACTATCTACCATAAAATGGATGCTAAAAATTTGAAATTATTTGAGCTTAAAAAATGCATAGTAGAAAAAGATAATTATAAGGAAGATTTTGGGAATGAATTTTTGAGTTTACTCATAGAAGAAAGAAAACCTAAATTATAAATTCAGGAACAAAAACGTAAGGAAGAATTAGATGAAAATAGGAGAAAAGAAGAAGTTTAAATAATAAAACAAACTCAAGAAATAGAAGCTGAAAAAAAAACAACTCAAGAAATGAAAACTGAAGAAGGGAAAGGAAATCAAGAAATAAATTTTGTATTAGAAAATCTGCTTCTGCAAAATGAAGCAAAACGTATTGAAAATGAAAAGAGCAAAAATGTTTTTCTGTTTAAACCGAAATCGGAGCTTCATAATATTCTACAAAAGTTCGATCCGATAGCGATTAATATGAGCTTCTACCTGGTAATGGTCGAGAGGCTGTTGTACAATGTCATCCAAATTATTGCAAGACAAGAAGAAGAAACCACAGATGATTATGGTATAAGTAAAAGAACTTTTGTTAAAAAGATTCAAAATGACACCTGAAAAATTTAGACAGTTTTCACAAAACATCAGAAAATATTTAATAGTTTAATAAATTATACTACTTTTAAAAATATTAATTTTTAAAAAAGTTTAGAGATGCTCTGTTAATAAAAAAAAGTTAGAGATGCTCAGTTAGTAATCCTTGAGAATGAACAGATAATACTAGTTAAAGCATTATGTCTGTTAACTCTCATTCATAGAACTGTTTCTAAAAATGTGTTGTTTGTCAATATTTAGTTATTTTACAAAAAAATCAGAAAATATTTAATAGTTTAAACAATTATACTACGAGTAAAAATATTAATTTTTAAAAAAGTTTTTTTGGGCAATTAAATTTTTTGTAGTTGTATTTTGTACTAAAAGTTTTTTAAAAAAAACATTTTCTCTTAAGAAGTATTAGTTTCATTGATCTGCGGTACTATAATAAAAGTTTTTTTCCACTTTAATTTTCACAAAAATTACATCAGTTATGATTCTTTTTAAAAATAATGAAATAGAAATCATTAATACAAAAAAAATATTTAGAGATTGCAGTTTGCAATTAATGTATTTAAAGAAAATTAGAATTGTATATCTATAAACAAATTTGTGAAGAGATAAAAATGTATGCACATAATTGATAAAATATGTAAAAATAGTCTATGTACTTGGTGGTTGGTTGGTTCTAATGCCACTTGCCTCACGGGCAAGCCTGCTTGGTGAAACCGAGCAAATTTAAAGCAGAGTGTGCGATTCTCTTTTTTTCAGTGGCGCCATCTATGGCCAAGAATTCGTCTTCGCCACATCATATGTCACACCTGTTTATAAAGCGGATCCATTCATTCATCCACCGATTGTAATTTTGACCTGAATCAGAGAACGATCGATCTCCAATCCAGTACCCCCAGAGGTATTGATTTGTTATGGAAACATGGAGGACTTTAGCGACTCGATAGATTTAATGTGCATCAGTCACTTTACTACACAGGGAGTCTTCGGCTGTCGGGGTTCGAGCCCATGAACTCTCGGACATGGGCCCAGCGCCCTACCGACCAGGCTATCCCGTCCCCTTAGTACTTGTAAAATCATGTTGCCTTGAAAATTCTTATTTCTAGCTTAGTCATAATCTCCTCTAATTTAAAAGTAGATGATGTTATGTTATGATATTATTTGTTATTGAATACAAGATAATTTTGTTATTAATTACGAACACACAATTTTTCTCCAGGTAATGGTTTTGTTTTTTATTTTAAAAAATATACATTTAAAGTATGCCGTTTCCCCCCCTTTTATGTTTAAGGTAAACACCGTGGGTACTTTCAATGTTATCCGATTGGCTGTTGGGCTAATGGCCAAAAATCAGCCTGATGAGGATGGTCAGAAAGGAGTTATTGTAAATCTCACCAGTATTCATGCATATGGTGGAAGTACCGGTCACATTGCATACTCTGCTAGCAGTGGAGCCATTGCTTCTATGACATTACCTCTGGCTCGAGATCTCTCTTCAGAGGGCATACGATGTTGTGCAATTGCAACAGGTAATATTAAAAGCAATATTTATTGTTTTAAAATACTTCTTTTGTATTTATGTAAGGGGATCTTTTTTGTTTGTTTGTTATAGCTTTCTAGTTTAATTATATTGTTGTTTTTATTAGTTGTGCTATTTTAGTTTTTCTATTGTTTTATTGTATTTTGTAATGTCTTTTAATCAAAAATCAATTTTTTTAATGATTTTTTTTTTTGCCTTTTTGGTTAACCCTGTTCATTGGTAAAACCATTTTAAATTGGTTCAATTTTATTTTTAAATGTCTATCATATTCAAATGTTTATGAGAAAACAATATTTTTCACTTATTATTTGTGAAATAAAATTGTGTTACTTTCAGTATCCCCTTACCAGTGATCTGTCCAATTAATCAGATGCATAATTTATATAAAAAATAATGTAATAAGTATAGCCAAGATTTTTATTACTAAATAACTTTCTATAAATACCCTTTATAAATAGCAAAACATTGTCTTAGAAAAGCGAAAAATGCCTTAAAATATTCTTAAAATGAAAACAACATTCCTTGTAATTAAAAATTTTATCAGAGTCTTAATGTAACAATAGTCCATATATTGCTTTGGATAGATTCATCAATCATAACATGACAAGTGTGTCTTTATAACAACTGACACAATTTAGAAATATTCTGTTTTTTAGAAGAAAGTTTTCAATTTGCAATGCATTTAATAGTAAATTCAATTAAGCGTGTAAGCATGCTTCTAAAAATTTCAACAAAAAAATCCTACAAATTTAAAAAAATTTCTTAAAAAGTCTGGAAAAAAAAGGGAAAGGGTGGGGAAAGTCCAAAAGCTTGAAAAGATGCCTTAAAATTGAAAAAAGTAGGAAAAGTCCAAAATCTCGAAAAGATGTCTTAAAATTAAAAGAAATTTTTTCAAAATGAACAAAATGGTCCAAAAGAAGAAGAAAAATGTAGATGTCATCAAAATTTAGGCCTTAGTAATGAGCATTATCATTGTTTAAATTCATGTGTTGAATATTTGAGCTATGATTATATTTTTAAAGTGGTTTTTCTATGATAAAAGCAATTTAATTAGGGTTCTCATTTTAGCTACTAATGAAGTCTGTTTAATAAATATTAGTTTAAATATGCTTAATACATTTTAAAATCATTAAGAAATTTTCTGCTTGTCATTTCTTGTCAGCCTCTAGTTTTAAACATAGCTGATTTTTTATATTATGTTTTTTTTTTCAGTTTACTTTAAATTTAATTTAAAAATACTATTTCAGGGCTATTTGATACGCCATATTACAGATCTCTCCCAGATAAATATAAAAGATTTATACCATCACTAGTTCCTTTTCCTAAAGGACTTGGTAGCCCTACTGAATTTGCACATTTAGTACAGACTATTTTAGAAAATAAAATGCTGAATGGTGAAGTTATTAGGTTAGATGGTGCTTTGAGGTTTGATGTATAAATCATTTGTACTATTTTAGAAAATACAATGTTGTAGATTTTTATTTCTCATTAATTTTAATAAAAATTCATCATGAAAGTCAGAATTTTTTATTTCTCTGTGATTTATTTTATTAATTCATTTTTCGATGTGACACTGTATATTTGAAATATTGCATATTTGTTTGCTATTCATGATCTGGCAAGAACAATTTTTTTAATTGCAGACCATTAAAAAAATTTTAAATTTTTACATGGTTTATAAAAATGGGATGAGAGAAAAGATTGAATGGAAAGCAAAATAAAAAAAAAAGTACTTAAACGTGTAATATTACAAAATTGTTGCTAACTCAAAAAAAATTTGTGTAAATGTAAAATTTCATGGAAAAACCAGACTTTGGAGTGAAAGTCAAACTTTTGATAACCTTTGAAGATTTTGTAATTTCTTTTTAATTCTTGAATTTACTCCAAATTGGATACTTGCACTTCAAGACGAAAAAGATCACAAATACCCACACATGTGACTTATGACATCAGTGCCACTTGATTGTTTATAAACAAAATAGTGTATTAAAGTTGAGCTAAGTTTCTCCACATAAGTTAAAATGTTAATTAACATGAAGTTAATTGAATACAGAGTCATATCGCACATCAAATTTGTTGAAATATAATTCTTTCTACATCTTTTTACTTATCTTAGATTTATTATTTGCTTAAGTCTTTTATTATAACCGTGATATATTATTGCTTTGTATACCTGGCAAATTTAATACATAATTAGTTTGTTTAGGCTCTACATGGCTTTGTGTTAAGTAAGAAATATATAGTGAAGGAATAGAAATCTTTGTAAAAGAATATAAAAGGAGTCACTTAAGCGAACTGATACTTGGCGGGTTTAAATATAGGCTTTAAACAACAAAACCACATTGTATAGTAATTGGAAGGAAGATAACATTAAACACTTATAAATTAATGCTTCATTTTTAAACTTTTTTTAATCAGTTTATAAAAATGTTATTGATCCGTTTCGTTATTTCTCCTCATAAAATAATTTTAATTGATATCTGTCTTTAATTTAGTAAACTGATTTAGGTTATATAAAATATAATGTTCATATTTTACATTATGTCTTTTACAAAATATGTGATGTTTTTTCTTCTGAACATTTTCTAAGTTAATTTTATCAATCTTAGAATTAAAATTTTTGTATTAAAGCTTAAAAATATTATTTTAATTACTCTAAGACTAATTGGGTACTTGCACTTCAAGAAAAAGATTACGAATACCCACACATGTGACTTATGACGTCGGCACCAACTGATCGTTTATTTGCAAAATGGTGTATAAAAGTTGAGCTAAACTTCTCCACACGTAAGTTAGAATGTTAATTAATGTGAAGTTAATTAAATACAGCACCGTATCGCATATCGAAATTGTTGAAATATAATTCTCTCGGCTACGTCTTTTACTTATTTTAGATTTATTATTTGTTTACATATTTTATTGTAACCTTTATATATTTTTGTTTTCTGTACCTGGCAACTTCGATGCATAATAAGTTTGTTTGTGTCCTACGTGGTTTCATGCCTGTCTTTGTGTTAAGTAAGAAATATATAGTGAAAGAATTGAAATACTTGTGAAAAAATCATGGTAAAAGAATATAGAATGTGTCACTTAAGAGAATCGATACTTGACAGGCTTGGTTTACCAAAAATAGAATGAAAATGACAGCTGCTAACGCAAGTAATTGTCATGTTTCAACGACCAATCAGGATCGAGATACCCACTCTACGTCACTTGCAGACATTCCAATAAAATAAAATTAAAGAAAAATTTTGAAAAATACATTTTTCTATACCAAATGCATTGAAAAAAAAAAATTTTAATGCATTCAGCAACCAAAAAGATGAAATTAGCCTTAACCGTTGAGGCTGTGTTTCGAAAGCTCTGTCATCCCATGAAATAATGCATTTTAGTAAATAATACATTGTTTTAATAGTTGTTAAGTGTTTGTAACAGTTATTCATGACTGTTGAGTTAAGATTTGTCTATCTTTAGCTTCTCTTTATGCTAATTCTGAGAATGGCACACCATGTTAAAAAGAAGATAAAGAATGATTGTGGTAAAATTAAAAGCGCTTGTGATCTAATTTTTTTAAATATTTAAGAAGTTATTTAAACACTGTTTTATGTAGCCTCGTAAGGATTTGCAATGTGAGATTAATTAAATGATTATAATAAATATATCGCCGAATTTCCCATCTTTAAAGAAAAATTTACATTTTTAATTCTTCTGTTCTAAAACCCAAATAAATCTACTGCAATGTTGTATATAATGTTTAAAAAATATTGCTTTTCTCAAAGATTATGACAATTAAATGTGACTTTTTTTTTTCTTTTCTAATGATGATAAATCTGATGAAAATCTTAACTCTTTTGTAAACTCTGCACCCTAGATTTTTCGTTAAATCTAGGGTGCAGAGCTTTCAAAAGAGGTGAAGGGAATTTTCAGTGATAAAAAGAATTTTATTAGGAATGTACTGTGTGCCCAAAAAAACGGACCATCCTGAATAACGTTCGATCTAATGATCATATCTTCAGATTCTAAGACTCAATCTTAATGCTTTGAGGGGTGTCTTTAAATATGCTAATTATTTAGTGTAGGCAATATTTTAAGTTACGAAATCAGACACAAAAACGTACTTTCTCTGAACAAACATGCCTTTTTTCGACGGATTCAGATTTCTGCCCCTTAAAATATAGGGGGTAGCCTCAGTCTGGGAAATATAGTACTAATGGTTTGGAGAGCGATTCAAAATTTGGACCCCTTAATGTTTATTTTATTTTTTGCGTATTTCGTCATAACTCGAGAATTTTTATAGCCAATTGAAAAATTTTGCACACAGTTATAAATTTTGTTTACAAAAAGCTTTTGGTAGATATTTATTATTGTTGTCATTCCCAGGGAGGGATTGCTATGAAGTCTTTTTCTTTTTCAATACCGCCACGTGGCGTTCTTTTTAAATTTGTATGTATTTGTTTGCTTTTTCTTAATAAACCTTTATTTTCTGTCTGAATTTCGATCTCCACAGACTACAATTGGCAGCACAGCTGTGGTTTTGAAAATTATAACGCAGTAAAAAGTTTCGCCGTGATTTACATCGTTTAGATTCCGAGATGGACGGGGATCTGCCAAGTATTCCGCTGCTTAACTTTGAAAACTTTCATCAGTGGCGAATAAAAGTTAAAGCTAAGAAACTTAAGAAAATTGAAAATGTACTAATCGAAGAAGCAAAATTGCGAGAACAATGGACACTAAACAATGACTCTGTAGCGTATATTCAACTTTCGCTTTCTGACAACCAGTTTTCAGTTCGCCAACGAAACTAATGCTGGAATTCTGTGGAAATTCTATGAAATTCTATTCTAATCTTAAAAGTCATAGCTTTGTTTTCAACAGAATTTAAATATCTGTAGTTAGCTAATAGTGTTAAAGAAACTCTATATTTGCAATGAACTATATTTAAATAATTTTTGTAATTAATACGATATTTCTTATAATTCTGTTGCTTTAAAACTATCTGAAAACCAATCATCGTTGATAAAAATAATAATAAATAAATATATATATATATATTTTACTACATGAAACTAGTTTTGTGCAAACGAAATTCATAATTATGAGCAAAATTTGTCGATCTGCTTAAAATGTTTCCGAGATATTGCGAAATAAATAAAAAATGCATTTCAGTTTAAGTGGATCAAACTTCTGAGACTCTCCTGACTGAAACAATTAGGCTATATTTTCCCAATTAAGGAAAATATGGTTCCAATAATCCCTCCTCCTTTTTGATCGTCAAAAAGCCAAGGCCATCAAAAAAAGACATGTAGATTAAGAGAATCTGCGTTTTTATATCAGATTCCGAAACTTAATTAATAATTTGTACTAATTAAACAAGAGTGAAGTCTAGCCTAGATTACTGAAATAGGCTCTTTGTACGTACGAATCTGAACATTAGAACAAAAGTCATAAAAGGTGATCTCTCTCCAATTTTTTTTTTTTTTTTTAAGACACAGAAGTATATATTTCACACCTCTTTTTAGGATAATGTTCGATTATAATGAGTATAAATTTTATTATTTCTTAGCAAACCATTAAAAAAAATGTCACTCAATTTTATTTACATCTTAGTTTTATTTACATCTTGTAACTTTTTGTGCAAATTTTGCACAATAAATCTGTTTTATTACCATTAATTGTTGGGTAGAACCTGCACCGAGTAATATTTTTCACTCATTTGCTCTGGCCATCATTAATTATGACTCATCAGAATTTAATACTGTTTTTTTTTTAAATTTAACTTCCCAAAAATAATAATTTATGACTTCAAATGAGAATATTTAACATCAGTTTTACAAAGGTTCGCAAAGTATTTGAGTTGAAAAAAAATAACCTTATATGAAAAAAATTAATATTACAATTATAAGTGCATTATAGATTTTTCACATAATTGACAACTTTATGGCAAAAAACCGTACAATACGCGCAAGAGACAACAGTAGGAAACGACAATAATTCGACTAAGTGCTTTATAAGCGATGAGTTAGGAAAATGTTCATTAATAATTTAATAAGAGAGGAAACGTCAACAATTTTAGAGAAAAATGAATGTCCCATTCAAGTAATTAGCTTCATCCAGTCTTTCATAGCCGTCACGCAATTACTCACCATAGTTTGCTTTTTGTATTAATACCAAGTTTTGCTTGCCTGAACTCTTGTAAGTGTAACTAGTTTCCGATTTTCCCTTTTAAATTTTCGTATATATCTTTTCATTATATTAATCCACAATGATGAGAGATAGTAAAATCGGATTAAACACCGAAGTGCACCACACAACTGGAAATTCCGACGAAAAGCCTCGAAAGCTCTCTTATAACGGAAATTCAAAAGGAAATATAACTTTATTCAGTTTAATGACAATATTTTCTGACAAGTCCTCTTTTCCAGCCGTTTCCCAAATAAGAAAAGCAAACGCAACAGGTCAGAAATGTTTTTGGATTTTTCTTTTACTTGTTACTCTTTCTTCATGCATATATGAGGCATATAGG